GCTTCTTCTTCTCGGGGGATTCATTCTTCTTGGCCGGGGTCTTCACCTCGCTGCGGCGGCGCTTGTTGCTACGAGGCGGAGTGGGCTCCTTGACCGGTTCCGGAGAGGACTCTTCGCTCTCCTCCTCCTCGTCCGCTTCTTCCTCCTGCTCCTCGGACTCTTCGCCACCCGAGGCCGATGCGCCAGCAATGTCCTGCTGGAGCTGGCTGGCGGCCTTGGTGTTGTCATCCTCAGTCCAGGGTTTACCAGCCTTGTAGGCCTTGACCTTTTCCTTGTAGACGGCCAGGTTATCGGCATAAAGCTTCTTCCAAACCTGTCGATCATGTTAGTAGGCACTACCAACTCATTCGTAAGGGGTCATATGCATACCTCTTTCTGCGCCTCGGGCATCTCCGCCCAGCGACGAGTGCCCTCGTCGGAGACATCCTTGGGCCTAGCGCTGGGGCCCAATTCCTGCGCAATGAGGGGGCGGTTATGTTGCATGTACAGAAAGTAAGGAGTCAGGGCACGCTTGGGTGCGTTCGGGTCAGGAGGAGCGCGCTTGCGCTTCTTCTTCTCGCCAACTTCGGACTTGGCGCCAGGGCTGCTGGAGCGCGCACCCAGCAATCCATTCTCCAGGAGCGCAGCAGTGATGTTGCTGGCGTGGCCCAAGTCCAGTGTAGAGAGACTAGGGTTCAACACAGTGTTGGTATGGTTGATATAGGCGCGAGTCAGATCGGAGACCGCCGCCTGCAGATTAGACAAGCTGACAAGAACCTGAAAATAAAAAATATTAGTGGGGCTGTAGTTACAAGGATGGGTAAACTCTCGAGGCGACAGCAACATGGTATGTGACAAGGCTTAGGTACGCGCTAGAGCCCGGGAGGATGAGCCGGAAAGGCCGCACCAAGCTATTGCTGAACATGAATGAACAGGCCAAAGCAACGGAAATGAAACGGCATAATGAGAATTAAAAATCAATTAAGCAAGTCAAGGGCAAATTGACAAGTTAAGTTTTACCCCGCGCGAGGTGCATAGGTAATTTTATAGGTAAGTAGGTAGGTAGGTAGATAGGTAGATAGGGAGCGTGTGCAGATGGGTTTGTTTACTGACGCGTCGGTCGGCGTGCTGGGGTGGGTGGCCGTGGTACTGTACTGTCCACCAGTTTTCGGGGGGCGGCAGCTGCAACTTCACAAAACCATTTCTGAAGAAACACAAGAGATTTAACTTACACTTTCACGGGTTCTGGTGAAATCATCAACATTGACGGTGACTTGGCCATCATGGGCCTTGGCATCGTCCTTGCGCGACATGATATAAAAAGAATCAGCAGCCCAAAGAGCTGGAAGATATTGATTGGTAGGGTAGGTGGTCTGGGAGGGAAGAGAGAAGGATGGAGAGGAGAAAATAAATTTTCGAATCCGGCGGGGTTGGGCGCGGTGGAAGGCGGGAGCACAGCACCCTAAATAGTGGCCGCGGGCAGCGCTGGGCCCAGTGGTCGCTGCTTTAGGCTTAGGGGGAGACCATCTGGTAAGGTAGGGGGAAGTCTGGTAGGGCTTAGGTAGTAGGCCGTGGGTGGGCGCTGCTTGCTATGTGCGAGGCTGCGAGCCCCTTTACCCGTAGCCCCTAATCCGGGGGCACCTACCTAAGATCCTACAGTCTCAGCTTCGGGCTTGCCTTCCCCTAAGCTCAGGCTTGGGCGCTTCTGTTACTTACTGACCCGGCTCCCGGGCGCCTAAATCCCAGCTACAGCTATTGCAGGCCAGAGCTTCGCCCGAGCTAGAGCCATTCTTAAACATGGTGGCATATGCTGCAACTAGACTACTACCCCTGCAGGCTCCCCCTTGAACCCGCTGGGCTCCATGATCACAGCTGTACCTTTTCATCTTCCAGCTCCATGCGACCATCTGTCTGTGCCGCTGGTTCTTAACAACAATTTTGGAGTTCTTGCCTTAAACACCTTTGGTACCAGTACCACTACCAGTAGCTTACCTACTCTGCACTCCAGTTCCCACATCCCTCAGTTCCAGGTTCGAAATTTCGAATATCCCACTAGACACTCAACCAAGCACAGAAATCCATCCTCCAACTTGTGATACATCTCCTCCATAATTTCTTCTTCGCCGCCGCACCAGGCGCTAAATACAGGTTGCAAGTTCCAAACTACTGGAGCCTCCAAGCAGAAGACCACCTCGTAATCCTCCAGGGTGATTCCTCCTGCTTTAGACAACAGAGTTACGGCGCTTCCCCGACTCCCTCAAGCGCTAAAAAGACAACCCTGCTCCGGCTCATCGGACTTGAAACTCAGGCTCTCTGAAGACTCCACTCTGACTACCCCGTAGTCACTGACTCTTGCAGGCTGCCTTGCGCGACAGCTAGTCTACCTACTGACCGCTTCGTGGGCCTACCTTACACTCGACTCTGAAGAAGCGGGGTTGTTTCTGCAGGTAGTAGACTAGTAGTAGACTTATATTTCCGTTACACTCTTACTTAGTAGTGACGATTCGCATAGCTATGTAGATTTATTTTGACTATAATTGATCAATATCATGGCCAATAAATAATTGACTATGGTTTCGCGATGCGGGTAATGGTCAACGGATGGAACGCTATGCCGCAGAATATATATCCATCAGCCTGACAACATAGATCACCCTGTTGATTCTCAGAATAATGTACAGCGTCCTGGGTGCATGTGATAGGCGTAAGTTGTGGCGCATTTAATGTTAGTTATCTTACAGTGCCTACGTACCTACCTTGTCGCGCTTTTTACTCGTAGGCATGGCTGAGCTTTCAGTGGAAGATTAACTGATTTTATCTATGCTATAACGTTGCTTCGAGTCCATAAATACGAGTCCATGGTTCTGGACCTTCTGGACTCAGAGAAGTCTTTGACCCGTGGAATTACCCGGTGTTCAGCATATGATATAGATGTTAATCTAAATATCTTGATATTCGAGTTCTAACACCCCATTCGATACAGGGTACTTCTACACAAGACTATTCAATATAATCAAGACATGCCCTTTGTACAAACGCTAAGCGCAGGCTTAAAACTTGAACACCTGGTCCTTGCTGTATCCCAGCTCCGCAAGGATACCAGTCAGCTCACCCTGGTCCTTTGGGCTGACCTTGGGTCCGCTGATGGCCTTGTACATGCCGGGAGGTCCACACACAAAGATCTTGATGTTCTCCTCCTTGGGCTCGGGGAGGACGGTCTTCAGGAGCTCCTTGGTGATGTAGCCCTTGCCGCCGGTCCACTCCTTGGGAGGGTTGTCCAGCACGTAGAAGGCCCGGAAGCGGCGGGGGTAGGTGTTCTCCAGCTCCTCGAACTCCTTCTTCAGGAGAATGTCCTCCTCACGGACGTTGCCGAAGACGAGCGTGACCTTGGTCTGGTCCTCGGGATCCTTGAAGATCTTGCGAGCCAGCTGGTACATGGGGGTGATACCAGTGCCACCGGCAATCAGGCAGATGTGCTTGTGCTTGTTGGCCTCCCAGGGGTACTTGGGGATGGGTCCCTTGAACTGCAGGCGTTGGTCGACGTTCATGCTGTGCAGGTGCTCGGACATGGGGCCGTCGGGGTAGGCCTTGACGACGAGGTCGAGGTAGCCGGGTTGTTCTGCAAAGATAATCAATTACTGCCGGGTACACACTGGAAGACGGGGCGTACCTTCATCGCTCACGGGTGTGTAGGGACGGATGACAGGCTTCTCGGCGTCGTGGGGCTTGAACTTGGTCAACAGGGCAGCTAAAGGGCGAAAAGTGAGCTATGAGACAACCAAACGCCTCCAGAAAAGAGTCTACCAACATGCGACATGTAGCCCAGAGACAGCTTCCTTGTCAGGAAACTCAAAACGAAATCTCTTGGTGTTGGGGCTCAGTCTCTCGATCTCAGCCAACTTGAGATCAATCCAACCCTGGTCACCGCCAGTAAAAACCTTCGGGCGCTCGGCAGCGGGAGCCTCCGCGCTGGTAGAGTTGTAACGGTACAATCCCACACCGACACCTGTGAGACCGACCGCGATGTAGATGGGAGCGAGAGAAGACTTGCCCTTGGAGGGTGCCTCCGTGGAGTATTTGCGGAAGCCCTGCGACCGCGTCAGTCAGCCGATGTCCTCCCTCCGTTCCCAGAACCAACACCCAAATTTGCTCGGAGTCATTTGTTTACCTGCTTCAAGGGCTGAGCAAAGCGAAGAGATTGACGCGCAAACATTGTGTATGTAATTGACACAAACTGATGGTCAATTGAAGGATAATCCGAACCGGAAGAGACACAAGAGGAGCGGGCGGATGTTCAACCTTAGTACTCCGTGGATAGAGAGTTAGTTCCTCGCTGTCCGGATCCCACTGTTTGTCTTACTGGTCCGCATGACGCAATACCTGTTCCTGACGGTATTCGTGATCATTAGTAATCGACCAGGGTTATTAAGTACTTCTCTAATAGGTAATGAATGCCATTGTATGCTAGGCTAAGTATTTTGTTCCGTGAAAATGCTATAGTTGTGGTCTTTACAGAGAGTGACCTTGGTGGATGCTATATAAGGTGGATGCTACAAAGCTATATACCGACAGTTTGTAGCATTGGCTGTCGTCAATTGCGCTGATCTGACTCGAACGGTGAAGTTAGACCTCCACGGAATAGCCCAACCGTCACCACATGTGTTGTGGTGTCAAACATCGTGCAATTGTATCCATCAGTCACTCATTGCCGAGCCTTTCCGGTCTCATCCTGCCTGTAGTATGTTACTGCATGCAGAGACGCATCAGAGACATTCTACGCGGACTACCTCTCAGATAGAACCATGGTATTAAAAAAGAAAAGAACCCCGGTAATTTTTTTGATAAATAACTTGCAAGGGTCGCTGCAGAGGACTAAAGAGACATCAAAAACATCCGTCCCATCTTCTGGGCGGTAGATACACGCCTTGTTCTCCGCGTGATCCGTGTCCTTCTTGCATGCTATGGCCATAACATAGTCATTGATCCGCACACTCCATCTCCCATAACCCAAAACGTCATATCTAAGCGAAGGTAGAGGGTCTCGAGTAGGCAAAGACCTTCTTGCCAGCAGGCTTGGCGGAGCGGTGGGGAAGAGGGAACTTGAGGTTCTTCTGGAGGAGCTGCTTGATGTAGGGGCGGCGGATGGTGTCGGCCTTCTCGATCTCGACAACCTTGAGGATCTGCATGGGGTTCGTTAGAATCTCATAGGCACGTTTGTTCAGGAATGCGCTTCAACATACGTGGATGGAGCCGAAGCGGGCACGGTGACGAGCAGCCATGTCCTGGTAGAGGGCCTCGACAGCCTCGGTCCGGCTCATCTCACGGAACTCCTTGTACATGTTGTGGGTACCGGAACGAGAGTCGTAGCGGAGCCAGATACCGAAGTTCTTGACCTTGAGAGGGCGCTTCTCGTGGATCTAGCAAACAAGAAAACAGACAAAGTCAGTCGACCTCATCTTGACCGAAGAATCCTTTCCCATAGTAGACATACCACGTTGAGGCTGACGATCTCACCGTTGGCCTTCTTGACCTTACGAAGCTGGGTCAAGAAGTACCAGAAGCGCGACTTGGCCACAACGGTGTTGGGCGCGAAGATGCGCATGCGGTACAGCTTGGGCGTGGGGTTAGCCTCGGTGGGCAGGTGACGCCCGATGACCTGGTACTCGGTGAGACGCCCTGTGAGAAACACCAGTCAGTGACTGTTCGTTCAAGTATATCCGAATCCGAATAGAAGAGCGTCTGGTATCGTTGCATTGATTTCCGTGCGAACGTCATGGTCGATGGCGCGTATGTTTAGATCTGCATCTGGAAAATTTTCGACAATGTGCGACCGCAGTTCAGCTCGACCTCCTTCAATGAACAGTCTCATTCCGTACTTCCAAAAGACCTTGCGCACTTCTCTCGTTCTATCGGCGTCTCCTCCGTTGTCATTGTCGTCCAGTGCCCATTCTTCGAAATTGTGTCGTTCGACGTCCGCAGGAAACCATTGCAACCGATCCGACGGGGAAATTGTACGAGTTATCGAGGGAAAAAAATCACTCACCCATCTGGAAATCTGGTTAGTATCAAATGCAAACGACAAAAATGTAGATAACGAGGGTGGTGCTCACTTTTGTCGACTCTGTTGTGGTTGACTGTCGAGATAGGTGTGCCGGCTGGTCTGGTCGAAAATGAGAATTTGTGAAACTTGTTGGGTTAGGGCTGCCGCCCTTCGCCTAAGCGACCAGGCAGATGGGGCTTGACTCTGACGCTATACCCGATATGGGTGCTCAGCCACAGCGGCTGATAAGGGCCTCAGGAATCCACGGCTGCACACTGTTGTTCCCCACCTTCCCCCCAATCACGTTCGCGACCGTCGATGGAGAAGGCAGGGAATGAACGATGACACCAGAGCCTAGCTCCATAGATTGCCCGGGTTGTTTGTTGAAGATATTTCTATGATTGTAAAGCACTGACGCTTCGATACGAGAATCTAGGACTCTGGTTACAACACACAGTCTGCCATGGCGTCTGTCTTTACAGACTTCAAGGAAGGCCAGAAGAACGGGTCTGGTCCTCGTTTGGCAGCAGCTCTTACGCCCATCGCAACCTCCGAAAGCCCCGATCGCTTGCTGTCGTTCTACAACTTCTCTGACTCTGACCATATCTCGGCAGATCTGCGCTATTCACTTTTCCAAGCAAACGGCGTGAAGCTCCCAAAGCAAGAGCAGAATGGCTGGGTTGACATCTTCGCAGCGTATTGGAAGGCTGTAGGGGAGATCATCAAGTTCGAGGAGTATAACCCGTCGGCCAGCTGGGCCAAGGTCTTTGATGCTTGGAAAAATGTGGCAAATACTCTCATCAGAGGCTACACGAACTTCGGGCTTCAAGCATGGACGGTCCCGTGTCTCTATGTGGTGGGGAAATACTTGAGGGTGTTTGCGATCAAAGCAGATGCTGAGATTTCCTCTAAAGGAGCCATGGCTTTTGGTGACCAGTTCCAAGATGATGTCGCTGCGGATTTCGAGAAGAGTGCGAAGCTCGAGGAGGCTGCCCGGATAATCAATCGGATGTTTACTCTTTGTCTGAGCGACAGGTGTGTAGTTGCACTGGCTGTCTACACTGATTTTCGCAAATTACTGAGTACGATTCAAGGGCACCGATTGAAGAATCCCGGAAATGGGGTATCTACAACACCACAAATCTTTTGTTCAAGACATACTTCAAAGTACGGTTGAAGTCCATTCCGTTTCTGAACGTCGTCTGACAAACCTAGCTCAACTCAGTCGGACTCTCAAAGAACCTTCTTCGCGCTCTTCGCGCTTCATCCGCCGATCTCCCTGAGCTAGAAGCTTTCCCCAAGTCCCACATAGTCACATTCAAGTACTATGTCGGTGTTATTCACTTTCTAGACGAAAATTACGCGGAGGTAAGACGATCTTGGGCAAGTTTTTGATTAATATCAAGACCTTATTCTGATGACCTTCCGCAGGCGGAAGAACACCTGGCATATGCGTGGAAGATGTGCCACAAGGGCGCATTCAAAAATCGAGAGTCAGTGAATCTTAACGCATGTCTCTATACCGTCGCTAATTTCAGCAGGCTGATCCTCACATATCTTGTCCCCTGCCACCTCGTCACGACCCATACTCTACCATCCGAAAAACTTCTCGCACCCTTTCCCAGATTGGAGAAACTATTCCGTCCCCTGTGCGAATGCATACGAAAGGGGGATTTGGTTGGATTTGACACAGCCATGTGCGCCGGAGAAGAGGAATTCGTCAAGAGACGCATCTATCTACCGCTCGAAAGAGGACGCGATATTGCTCTGCGAAATCTGTTCCGAAAGGTTTTTATCACTGGAGGGTTCGAAGAATCCAAGGACGGCCAGCCTCCCATTCGCCGAACTCGTGTTCCAGTTGCCGAGTTCGCAGCAGCGCTGAGGATCGGCACACATGCGGATGACAGGTCCCGGGTAGACATTGATGAGGTTGAGTGCCTACTATCTAACCTCATATACAAGGTATGCCATTCTTATTCATCACATGGAGCGATCACAAACTGATTGACTGTTGCTAGGGACTTATGAAGGGTTACATTGCCCGGGAGCGAGGCATGGTTGTGTTGAGCAAGGGTGGTACCGCCTTTCCAGGAACCGGTGTCTAAGAATTCCACTACACCATCCAAGCATACGATTTAAGCTGAGCTTGAGTCAGAGCCGGGCTAGACCCGAAATTGAGGTCGCCCAAAAGGATCTGAAACTCACGGCATCCAAGTGCTTGCCACCGAAGAGAGCCTTGAGCTGTTTATATACAGCCTAATTCGCTATGGTATCCTTTATGATGCATGAACAGCCATCGGGATGCGACACGACTCGCTATCATCTACAGCTAGGTAGTTTTATATACCGACGGTATAATGGTCACCAGGTGAACATCAACCAGGCTGTACTTCCTGCCGCATGGGTTCGACTGGATTATTCGGTAATTGGCATACATCAGCGGACGACAGTTTATACCGAACCCTACATCACCATTGTATGACTTAGACATGAATTATGAACAGGAGCATCTATCCATGACACCTGTACTTTGAAATCTTTTGCATGTACGAATTAGAACACATTGATCAGGGTGAGAAGGGTACCGCATTTTCTTGCTTTTGATAGAAGAGACATGAAACAAAGTTACTGTACACTGTGGCCTTCACGGCGCGAAAACCAAATTGAAAATAGAGAAGGGTATAGTAGAAAGGCTCAACAAGCAGTCTGGATTTGAAATGGAATAATAAGTCGACAAACATCAGGATGTGGAACTAAGCAACAGACGACTTGGCAGTTGTGAGGTCATCCTAAGCAAAAGACAAAAGTCAGCTCCATCCATACAAAAGACCGCAGAGAGGACAATACACACCATATGATTACACATCGCGACAAACAAGTCGAAGAATAATTTTCCACCCTTCTCCATCTCCATCTGCATAGTCCCGCTCCGCTTGAACGTCGACCGGCTCCGGATAATCAGGGCCAGATAATGAGCGCGCAGTTTCGACTCGTTATCCGAGGTGTTGGCGTAGGCGTAGCGAGCGCTGCTCAGGATGGTACTGCACTGGATACCGGAGTGGAGGCCCTGTTTCCGCAAGGCAAGGCGCTTCAGGGGCTCAAGGCCATACTTTTGCGCGGCGCAGCTGTTAACCAGCGATGTTAGTCGTCTGGTTGGGTTGGGGGTTAGAAAGCAGACTTACTAGACGGCTGTATCCCTCAGAATCACCGAGCCAGTTGCGTGGTGGAAAATGGTCGCATTGGTGGTTTGTCCGTCTGTGTCGAGGCCGGTGTTCTCGAGCTCCCATGTATCGCGGTGCCGGTTGTAGATGGCTCGGGGCGTGTAGTCGCCCTTGTAGAGGTATTCGAGGATGCAGGATAGGATCTCGGGCTGTTCGTCGGGCAAGGAGATGCTGATGCGCTTGTGAGGCGATCCTGGCGATGGCGATGGCGATTGGGATTGCGCTCGGCAGCAGGCGGCTGCAAAGAAGGGGGATATGCAGAGGGTGTCTTCGTGGGCGGCGAAGAGGCGCTGTTCTGGGCCGACGGAGATGGTGACTATTGATGTACTTGACGAGCTGCTGTGGTTAGTTCAGCATTCAACTGACCGCGATGGAAAGGAGTGTAGTCTTACCACTTGTCTGGGGAACTACCAGTTCTTTGGCGTCTTTCGAGCCGTCGCGATGGAGTACTAGGAGAGTCGCGGACGGGCTTCCTCACTCGCTGGGTTGCCGTCCCTTTTCCAACGCGATATCTTGATGATAGGCTGTCTGTGGGACTCTGAGATGGACGTTTGATGGAAAGCATGTTTTGGCTGCTACTGCTGTGCTGTTGGGTCAACATATTGAAGACGGGCTGGGCGGCTCGAGCGAGCTGAGAGAAAATGGTAGGGTCTCAGGGGTTGATGGAGTAAAGCTGCAATTGCTTGGTCAATGGTGAGACAGCTGACGGCATGCTTGTATCTGTACCTGCGTCTGTAAGTACGACGATCAAGAGGATGATACGGATACTGTCGAAACAGGCGATCAACAGTAAGAAGCAAGTAACTGCACCATTGTTGGAAATTGGTTTCTTTTATATTCTCAGTGTTGCTAAGTGATTTAGACATCTACAATTCTGAGACACCAGTCAACATTGTTAGACCTTTCTTTGTGCATCTATCACAAATGTCCCAGTTCGAAGGGCCAACTGCAGGCGCGTACAGACCGGTATTGCACGCGTAAAGTGGTTTTGAATGCATCGCCAAATGATCGCGCAGTCACGGGATTCTGTTTGTCCAATTAGATGTCAGAAATAGGTAAGGGAGGGTGGGGCACCTGGACTGCCTCCGGAATTATTGGATTCCTTGATTAAGAGACGAATGGAAAAGTTGATACATCCTCCTTGAGAGCCAGCATTATCCAGGCCTAGATGACTCTTTCTAATAGAACGAAGGGGTCTAGTGGGCGAAACAGACAAATAACTAATTATCTTCCGGTGGCTATGCGATCTCAAAGTCCAGGTTTGATAACACCCACCCATATGTGGGGTATATCTTGAAAGGAATGTCTTCAGCTTCCTGGGAATCTATATGCAAGGGCTTGCAGTTAGACGTAACCAAGGTGGGATTATCTGAAAAATATACACATATATGACTTCCCGCATGCCCTCATGACCTTGACACCGAAAACGCCACCATCCTTAGTTGACAAGTAGAAAAGAAACAAAGAAAATCCGGATTCCTAAGACCAATCCACATTCTCCATCAAGCCGATGGATGTTGGATATACCCCTGTTCTTCATAGGAAGACCTTCCTTGCCTCTCGCGGATGACTCTCATTGGGACAATAAGGACACTTGAATCTTGTGCCTTTGCAAATTCGTTTCAACGACTCTTCTGCAATAACATGACCGCAAGGCATCATCATCGGGG